ATATTTCAGTTTTTCTTTTTTAATAAATCTGCAAAAATGTCAACAATTCTGTGTTTTTCTGTCAATATGGGGTGCTTTGTGTACATTAATGAGGAAAAAAATTAACTTAAATGAGTTTAGCAAATGGCTGCAATATAACAAAGAGTGAAAAATTTTCCGTACCCAACTTTCCGTACCCACTGTATTCAAAGGCATGAAACATTTATACAAGACGCAACTAAAGATTTTTCTTAATGCTCATTAATGCCTGGTTAAATGTTTATATTATTTATTTATTTTATATATTATTTATGTTATTTAAGTATTATCGAACTTTATTAGATAATATTACATAATTTTCTTAGAACAATTTGTCCTTAGAAGGGTTGTGGGTATTTATTTATTTTTATTTGTTTAGCTTATATGTTAATTTTGTCAAAATATTTTAATTATACTTTATATTAAACCATTAACATTGTTTATTTACTTATTTATTGTTAATTTACTGTATATCACAATGTTTTAATTATACTTATATTATTTATTCATTATAATTTAAGTTTATTAGTTTATATTTTATATTACTAAACATTTTAATTATTCTTTATATTAAATTATTAACATTGTTTATATCACAATATTTTCAATTTTCATATCACACTATTTTAATCATACTTATATACTTTATGTATTTATTTATTATAATTTAAGAATATTAGTTTATATTACTTTTATATAAATATTTTAATTATTTTTTCAAAATAATTTAAATAAAAATATTTTACGTATGTTTTATATTAAATACTTTATTAGCTTTATTAGCTTAATTAGTGTCACCTTATTTTATTTATTTTTGTTTTTGTCCCTGTTTGTGATTTTATTGTGTGTATTGATATTGATGTAAGCAAAAATAACTACAGTAAAAATAACTACAGTACTATGATGTTCAAAACTGTATTGTCTAGGTAGGCACCTCTCAGGGTTTGTACAGCTTGTGTGTGTGTGTGTGTGTGTGTGTGTGTACG